GAAAGACAAAAGTAAGCCCAGGATACTCTGGAAACCCAAAAAAGAGGAATCTAAATGACAGGAAGATCAGAGAGGAAGCAAATTGTAAAGAACATGGGTTCAGAGTCAGATAGACTTGGGTTTAAATCTCCAGTCTGCCACTTAACTACATAAGCCCCTCACTTCTGGAACCTCTGTTTCTTCAGTTGGATGTTGGAGATAACATAATACTTATGCAAAATGGTTATAATGATTAAATGAAATGATATTTTAGTATAGAGCCCAACTCACCACAAGCATTTAAATTGAAGATATTTTCTATCTTATATAGATGTTGCTTAAATTTTGAAACAACAAGTAGGAGATGGCTACATAAAGAAAAGGGAGTATGGTGTTCTTGGTAGAGAACACAACCATGTCCAAAGGGCTGACACATTTCATGAGCTGATATATAGCTTGATGTGGTTGAAATAAAGGGATCGCATGTGAAAGCAATGACAGATGAAGTCAGAGAGGTAAGTTGAGGCCAAATCATGCAGTCTTGTATACCTACCTAAGAAGTCTGAGCTAGTATCTCTGGAGGTTTTCAAAAGGGAGTAACATGATTAGATTTGCATTTCTAAGAAGTTTCTCTGAGGCAACTTGACAAAAGTGCTAAGAGCCTTAAGCATGGACATATAATTTGCTCTACTAATGTTACTTCTAGGAATTTATCATAAGGAGATAATCAGAAATAAAGACAAAAGTTTATGTACAAGAATGTGTGCTGAAGGCACATAAGGAAATTGGAAACAATCTAAATGTTGACTAATTGGAAAATGATTAAATAAATCACAATACATCCAGTTGATGCAATATTTTAAAGCATTCAAGTACATTTGGCAATATTTCAAGGTATAGGGAGGCATTCAAAATGAAATGCCAAGCCAAAAAGAAGAATTCAAAGCTTAAATACAGTGATTCTGGTTTTGATTTAAAATAAATAAACAAATGAATAAATATGCAAAACTATTGGGAGGAGTTGTACCAAAACCAAAAAATAACTATAGTTATCTTTGCATAGTGGAAATATTGGTGATTTCTGTTTTCTTTTTCAAGTTTTTTCTGTACTTTCCACATCTTTAGAATGAATATGTAGCTTTCACAATTTAAAAATATTTTTAAAAATGATCACTCTTACGGGCACTGTATAGAATAGAGGTTTATGTAGGAGAGACAGAAAGAAATGAGACAGTTAGTTGACTATTACAATAACCCAGGAGAGAAGTGATAAGATTTTTAGCCAAGGCAAAGCCAGAAGGGATGTACAAGCAGGAGGGCGGATTCTAGAAATATAAAGAGTTAGAATTGAGAAGACTTCATTGCCTATTAGATATGGGTGAAAACAGAGAGAAGATATCAAACATGGTGCCCAGGTTTCTGACTTGGGCAATCAGGTGGAGTGTGTACTGATCTCAGAGAGAGAGAAAACGGGGAAAGGGCAGTTTGGAGGAGAGAGTAGTAGAGATGAGGAACTCTGTTTGGGATATGCTGAACTTCACCTGTTTGTGAGATGTTGAGATAGATGTGTCCAGTAAATAGTTGGATAAATAGGCCTGCAGTTCATTTAGTTACTCATTCATTCATTCAACAAATGTTAATTGAGTACCTACTCTGTGCCAGGCAATGCTTTGGTTTTGGACAGCAGTATACAAAACAAAATAGAGCTTGCATTCCAGTTGGGGACTAGGGTCTCTAGCTCAGAATAGACATAACAGACATCTGGGCTGAAGACAGACCTATGGGAATCAACAGCTTGGACATGGTAGAGGTGGAGAAAGACGTGGGAAGTGGATGAGGTGGATGGCCCAGCGGGGTTGTGTAGGATGAGAAACGTGGGCTTGTTTTGGATCAAGTTCTTTTCTATGGCTTAGAGGATTGAACTGCTTTGAAAAATGTCTGCACACCCTTTAAATATGATTACTTTCTGACTGTACTCAACTCCCAGTCTAGCTACCACTTCTGTGAGAGGTGGACAAGTCACTGAATCTTAGATTTGATGGTCTTATCTCTAAACTAGGAATAATATGGCTTTAACCTGCATCGGTATAACTCTCCTGCTTCAGGACCTCTGCAGTCTCTGTTCCTTCTGCCTAGATCTTCCCTGTGACCTTCCCCTGCTGGGCTCCTTCTCATCAGATCTCTGCCCCACTAACACTCCTGCAGAGAGGACTTCCCTGACCCTCCAGGATAAAGCAGTGCAAACCCAGGCCCTTGATACTCAAGCACCCTATTCTAATCGCTGTCTGCTATTTCTTTTACTGTTTTTTACTCATTGTTGATTCTTGCACTCCCTAACCAGAACGTGTCATGAAAGTATGGGTCAAACTTGCCTTGTTCTTTGTGATAGTCCAGTCTCCTAGAAGAAAGCTTAGCATGTAGTAGGCAAGCAGTAATTTTTGAATTATTTTGAATTTGAATAATTTTGAACAAATGAAGGATTTTCCAGCTTTATGAGCAAATATTAATAAACAACTCTTGAACATTTCTATGTGCCAAGTACCTTGTTAAACTGCTGGGGATACAGAAATCTTACTTGCTTCTTATTTGCAAACAAGTTTACAATCCCATGAGAGATACAGACACCTATGCGGCTATTATAAGGGAGTGAATCAAAGCGGGGCAGAGGTTTGGGTTGTTGTGAGGAAGGGTCTGGAGATGTGCTGTATGTGTGGAGGACGGAACTAGGTGGTCTCGGGGCTACAAATTGGAATACTGGGATTGTGATGCCAACTTGGTATTCTGACCCAGAGGCTTGGTTGATGGATGAAAAGATAGGACAGGAGAATGAATCCACTTTACACTTACACTAGACTATGAAATTTATATCTGTTTGGCTCACAAGCACATCATATCCAGATGTATATACACATAGTAGGTGCTCAATAAATATTTTTTGAATAAACAAGTTTCATCTCAGCATGAAATAAAATTCACCGTTGGTATATTCCTGAAATGGAATATCATTCAGCCTTAGCAAGGAAGAAAATTCTGACACACGCTCTGACATGGATGAATATTGAGGACAGTTTGCTAAATGAGATAAGCCAGTCACAAAAAGACAAAAACTGCATAATTTCACTTATATGAGGTATCTAGAATAGTCAAAGAAATAGAAACAGGAAGTAGAATAGTGGTTGCCAGGGACTGCAGGCAGGGAAGAATGGATAGTTGTTTAATGGGTGTAGAGTTTCAGTTTTGCAAGAAGAGAAAGTTCCAGCAGTTGGTTGCACAACAAAGTGAATATACTTAACACTACTGAACACTTGGAAATGGTTAAGATGGTAACTTTTATGTAATATGTATTTTACTACATTTAAAAGTAAAAAAATAAAATAAAATAAAATTCAGAGTGTGACTAGTGATTCAGTCGCATCTGAATCTGTGTTATTTTGTTCTCCTAAGTGAAAGAACTCAAAAGGTCTGTGTTCCTAGTGAGAGTTCTTCCTGTTTTCTGAATCTATGAACCTGCATGAAAGGGGCAAGGGGAAACTGAGGCTCCGAGAGGTTTTGTAATTTGTCCCAGGTCACACTGTCAGCAGGGCTGGTCCTGTGATTAGAACCCGAGTCATTGACTTGAGTGCAGCGCTCTCCCCATTCCACCTGTGGTCAGGGGTCAGGGGCAACCTCTGCAGCCACCTCTCACATCCTGATCCTGCTTGGGGCACCACGGTTCCTGCTGCAGGACAGATGTCCCTTGACATCTCTGCTTGAAAATCTGATAGGCACCTTGCAATCAGCTATACGGAGCTCTTGATTTACTAGTTATCAGATGGTATATTCTTAAAAATAATTTTTGATGATAGTTCACTGTGTGATTTTTGGCATACAACTTAGGAGTTCAAAGAATGAAGTCACAGTCCTGTAAACAAAACTCTTTCCCCATGAACTGATTCTTGACACTAAGTTCTCTGTGCTGACATCTGTAAATATGATAAATAGGACTAGAATTCATGCTTAACTCTGTGTCACTCTAGTGATAAATATTATATACCAGTGGATATATATACTAAAGAAAATTCTCAGATATCCCATTATGAGATAAATTCCCTATACTTTGTATGTTTCCTTACTTTATATGTTTAGGAATTATTTTTTTAAATCCAGATTTGTTATTTTGATCAATTGTGTATACTAATCATTATAATGATAACTCAGTGCAGATGGAATTTTTTAATGCTTAGAACCATATGTTTAGAGGAAACAAAACATCTTATATAGCATTTATATACATTTTAGAGATATATGATATGGTGATCAATAAAAGACTTTCAATCTTATAATCTGTATTAGGTTAAGATTCTGGAGGAGAGGTAAATGGAATGAAATATGAGTTCAAGGAATAAAAGAAACTAAAATTTCTGATTGTTGAGAAGAGTTCTTTTATACATTTTTTAAAGTAAATGTAGGCATCAGAACACTATGATATTCACTTTCAACTAGATCATTTAAAAGTGACTTAGTACCTTTATTTCAAATTTTCAATATTTACAAATTGCCGTAAATTTCTTCGCAACTATGTAACCTTACAATGAACAATTTTAGATGTCAGTGTAAAATGTGTGTTAGAGTACCTAATTTTTCAGAATTCTTTTGTGGGTGTGTAAACCAAACCAGTTTGAAAACCGGGGGCGCAGACTGTCCTTGATAAGTTGTACTGTAAAGGATGCTGAGAAATGGGTAGGTAGCGGGAGGAAAATATGGAACCTCAAAAGACCTGTTTGGTTTGGGTTTGCTCCTGTTTCTGACGATGGGAGAAATTACAGAATGTTTATGTGCCGAGGAGAATGATTTAGCCAGGAAGGTGAAAGTGATGGTGCGGGAGAGGAGGGACGGTGGCTTGGGGCAGTGAAGGACGTGGGCACAGAGTACCAGCAGACGTGAGGCCCGTGAAAGGACAAGGCAGAGCGACGTGGCCGACGCCGGGAGGGAGGGCAGAGAGGATGGGCGAAGGGCAAGCGCGTATATCCGTGTGGGATGGAGGAGCGGGTGGTGGCTGGAGGAAGTTCTCTCTGACTGAGTCTATTTCCTCAGTAAAATCAAAGCAAGATTAGCAGCCGTGAGGAAGGGCGCGGGAGGAGGTGTTGGGGACGACAAGAGAGAAGATGTCGAACGGTCCTTTAGAGGAGTGGAACGGAATTCACTCGGGAAGTGCAGTAGGACTTGGGCTTGGTTTCAGGAGTTTGTTGAGAGGAGACAGCCAGGCGGTGTGCTTCTTCCGCCACGTGCAGCCAGGTGGACGCAGGTGAGGGCGGGCGGGAGAGTTGTATTTACCCAGCTTGCAATGTGCAGGTGCACACACTGATGGGTGCGGGTGCAAGGGAGTTGAGGCCGAGTCATTAAAATGATGGAGCCTGGACTTTAAGCTGCGGAAGGAGGGACAGGACGGCCACAGGGATGGGTGATGCAATCCATGAATAATTAACTCCCTGTGGGGGGCCAACTGCTGCGTTTGGAGTATTGACTTTCTTTTTAAAATTTCAGCCGTCTTATTCCCCCCCCCCCAAGGGCACCGACTCTCCGATTCTCCTCCTCTTCCGTCCTCAATACTTCTGTCGTCGTTTTCACAGGTGGAATATCTTCTAACATCTTCAAGGAGGTCAGTCGCGGTTTCTTTCACCATTACCTCTGCCGCCTGCGTGGCCCGCTTTGCACGTTTCCTAGGCATTCGCGTTTCTGTTTGTTTTGGTCGCCGGCTTTCCTCCCGCAGCGGCGGATCCGGGCGGTCCCTTCAGGTTCTGGGGGAGAAGGAAGCGCTGATTGGTTGTCCTGCGAGCCGGTGCGGGGCCTGTCGCCGGGGGGCGGGGAGGGCGGCCAGGAGCTGAGCCAGCCGCGGTTCTCCCTGGGCCGCTGGGCTCCTGCCGTCCCTCCATCCCGGGCCTGGGAGGCGGGCTCCCGGGGCGGGACTGTGCGGGCCACGGGGGACCTGATTTCTTGTTTTCTGCCCAGCCGGACGTTTTGGCACGCAATGCAGATGCTTTGTAGCTGGGCATTTATCTGGGAGAGTGTTTGCGGTGACATCACAGAGACAGATTTTGTTTGGCCTGCCTCCCCGCCCACTCCCCGCCCTCTCCAGACTTCCTCGGGTGGCCAGGCACGCACCCAGTGGGAGCAGTCCAGGGCTTCCAGCCAGTCCTCCTTTTGAAAGGCACGGGGTCGGAAGGGTGATTGAACATTAACTCTTTGTGGCGGCAGTTTATCTGTCAGGGAGGCCTGGCGGCCGGAGGATTTGGATTTCCAAGCAGCTCCACGCACAGAGTGCTGTCCACCAAACACTGTATTTCGTGCTTCGTTCGTGCCACACCCCGGGGACGTTTCCGAAGAGAAGGACAACTTTGCAGCCCTTTGGAGTGACTGCCTCTCATTCTCACGTCCCAGCTCTTGGTGGTTCCTGCATTGAATTCTCACAACCTGTGATGTCGACATTAGTCTCCCATTTTTCAGATGAGGCAGTTGAGTCTTAGAGAGATGAAGTGACTTACCGATATCATCTAGATAGATGGGACAGAATTCGGTTTGGCCCTGATCTGCCTTCAAAGCCCAGGTATAATCTATTATTCTACTAGAGCCATGCCCTCCAGGGATACTGGGTTTGCTGGGTGGGGAGAGGACAAGAGAACTAAGTAAAGCCGGAAGTGCAGACTCCAGGCGACCACTAAAAGCAAGGGAAAGCACCATGACTTACTTTGTTTGCTTGCTTGTTTCTGTGCCCTTTAGGGAAATATGCCCAGAGGGAGTTCATTTAACCTGGCCCTACAGGATGAGCAGGGAATTCCACACGCTGACAATGGACATTTCAGGCCCTGGGAGCAGAAGGTCCAAAGGGGAAGAGATTCTGGCATCCACAGAATGTAATGGGGGAAGGCCCTTAGGGAGACCCCAGCCCTTCATTTTACTGAAGGAATAAATGGAGGCCCAGAGAGGGGACTTAATTATTTAAGATCACGAAACGCAAGTGCCCAAATTGGGGCTGGAACCCCAGTACTCTGCCCTTTAATCTGTGGTCTGTCTTTATTAGTAATTTAGTAGTAAGACACAATGTAAGAGTTGTTCACACTTGTTCAGCACTTACTAAACAAGTACTTTATATATATTCCTTTCTTTTAATCCTTGGAACAACTCTATGAGGTAGACGGTATTTTACAAAGGAGAAAATTGAGACTGAAGGAAGTAACTTACTCAGGATCACACTGCAAGTCTGAGCCTGGAGCCCAGGCTCTTTCCTCTCTGCTCTAGTAGTGATAAGCAGATACGGAAAGAAGGGTGTGACCAAAAAAAAAAAACCCTTTTCAACGTATGTACTTTTATCTCCCTTATTCAGATGAGAAACTGAGGTTCAGAGACCGTCAGTGACTTGCCTAAGGTCACAGAGCAATAAAGTGGTGGAGGGGGCAGTGGTGACTACTCCTGGGTTCTCTCTACTCCTATCACAGGCCCCACCTTGGAGAGAGAAGCAGTCAAAGCCCCTTGTCTCTTGATCGTCTTTCACATCTTCCAGACAGCTCTGCCTTGGGATCGTCCTCTGCAGGCCAAGTGGCTCTGGTCAAATCTTCTCCAATGAGGAATTACCTATCCTAACAAGACAGGGACCTGGGTCTCCCGGCGGCCAGTGAGGTGATTTTCTGCATTCCTCCTCACTTTCTCCTGTGCAGCTTTGTCATCAGGGGATCTGGATCACATTATCCCCCAAAGACCAAAGTGTGAGATGCTTTTAGCTCCAGGGTCCTTTGGAGAAGCCACTTGGTCAAGCCCCTTTGGTTTAAGTTTGCAGGATAAGCATCAAGGGGCAAAGCCCGGTCGGGACAGTGGCGCTGGAGGCCTGGGGCCTGCTTGAACTGCGTTAGCACCTCTTACATCTGGGTGAAGAGTGACGAGTAGACAGAATTATGAATTGGGGGTGGAAAAATGAGTCTCCCCAAATATTTCCGTTCACTAGTAACCCTCACTGACTGAGTGAATAAGCTTCATGAGAGTGCTCAAAATTAATTAGGTTTATCTGGCTTGTCTTCACTGCTCAATAAGGTGTCTCTGAGGGTTTGGCTTCCAGAAGGGATGTTTGAAAGATGGGTTTCCACTGTGGAAGGAATCTCTGGACCAGATCCCAGGAGGTCTGGGGGGCTCGAGCCAGCTCTGCCAATGACTGACTGTGTGACCCTTGAAAAGGCAGTTCACCTCTCTAAGCCCATCATTATTCATTTACTCATTTTGTCATTCCATACACATTTCTGGAAGCGCTACTGTGGGCCTGGCACCGTCTTAATGGTTGAGACAGCTTCTAACAAGACAGCCTCTGCAGTGGGAGACCTCATAGCTTCTGGGGGGAAATGCTCAAGGCTAGAGACTGTGAGTGGATTCTAAGCTGCTCTGGGATATGGGTAAATGCCCCCTGGAAGAACTGATGTCAACAGGACCCTAGCCCTTGTGGAAGCTCTGTGAAAATTTGAAAAAGGCTCCTCCTTTTCTGGACAAATGTAGCCTCATACCTGGATGTACAGCTTGGCAAGCAGAGCCCAAGCAGATCTTTGTGTCCCCAGTTGCCTCCTAGGCTGATCACTCTTGCCTGGTGAACAACTTGCTTATCTGAACACAGCAGCCCTGAATGTCAAGATTGAGATAGAAAGGTCCGGTAGAAGGAAAAGGTGGCAGAGACCATTTCAGGCTCAGAAAGGAGTGTGTATAAACCCCGCAGGCTGGAGAGAATGCTGCCTCCGCTTGGGGAGTTGCCTGTGGTTCAGTGACTGGAGGGACGAGTGGGTGGTGTATTAATGGGGGGATTGAGGAGAGATGAGGCTGGGAAGATTGGCAGAGGCTGTTTCTTCACTTATGAAGCAAACAGTTAGTGGGTATCAGTCCAAGTGTAGTGCCATAAATACTAGGGAAATAGTGAACAAAATCAACCCAATGCCCTTCCCTGGAGGAATTCATATTCTAGTGAGATCCCGATGGGCCTCCGGTGTCTATGACGGCATCATGAGGCCATACTGATTTCTGACCCACCTCCCCTCTAGCACTGTATGAGCCCCCAACCAAGATAATGTGTATAAAAGGCCTTTGAGAACTGGGAACTTCTGAATCATTCCAATAAATAATCACTTTTAATCTTTTTTTTTTTGGCCGGACTGCGTGGCTTGCAGGATCTTAGTTCCCCGACCAGGGATTGAACCTGGGCCTGGCAGCGAAAGCACCAAGTCCTAACCACTGGACCACCAGGGAATTCTCAATCACTTTTTTTTTTTTTTTCTTGGGGTACGTGGGCCTCTCACTGTTGTGTCCTCTCCCGTTGCGGAGCACAGGCTCCGGACGTGCAGGCTCAGCGGCCATGGCTCACGGGCCCAGCCGCTCTGCGGCATGTGGGATCTTCCCGGACCGGGGCACGAACCCGTGTGCCCTGCATCGGCAGGCAGACTCTCAACCACTGCGCCACCAGGGAAGCCCCTCAATCACTTTTAATCTTAATCTGAGTGACCAACACTTGTGCCCAGGAATTTGGGGGCCTGTTCCTGGCACCCACCTGATCCTACCTTCTGAGAAGAAGACACCTTTTGTCATGGTCCTGATGCGACAGGAAATGTGACGCCTTCCCTTGCTCTACTCTCAAGGCCCATCCTGACCAGGAAAGATCCAACCTCTCTGGGTCAGCTGAGCAGGCTGGATGGCCTGTGACTTCCTGGGGCCTGTATAGGAATTCACTGGCTCGTTCTCAGGCTATGAGCATCTGCTGGGTCAAAGGCTGTTTCTTTTCTGGCTGAAGCACCGGTGTGGATGAGAGAGTCACTTAGAAATCACAAACAAAAGGGAAGCTCTGACTCTTGGGTAAGAGAGGGTTATCCCCGGGCTAGAAGCTGGGTCTGGCCTGATCAATAAATAGGTCTGATTCAGTGAAAGAGGCTGATTCCTAGGCCTGGGAAATTGTCCTCTTCCTCACTATGTGGCTGTAGACAAGTCAATTCCCCTTTCTGGGTAGTAGTTCCTTCCTCTATTAACCAGGAGGTTGAACTTATTCAAACCTGAACAACAGAGTCATTTGAATTCTTCTGTGGGACCTCAGTATGTAAAACAGATAAAAGCAGTGATGCCGCGGTTAAGGCAAGTGGTGGGGCCTGGAGATCTGCTGATCTCATCTTGTCCTGCCTCATCCTCCCTGGACTTCTCCCACTACCAGATATTGTCCTGGAGTCAGAGTGAAATTTGGTTTGAAAATGAATGGATTAGATCATTTTTCCTCTAACTGGGCTCCTCTGGCCCCTGGGTTCAGGGTAGGGGTGAGTGCAATTAAAAAGTTTTGTGATAATTTTGTGTATCCATTGAAATGGTTATCCAGCCCTCTCCCCATTCCATATAAACATAATATGGATTATCTACTTGACCTTCCCCCATCTCTGTTTCTATGTATAGATGTGAGATTTCAGTGGCCCCCATTTGACTTTCTATTTATGACTATGGCAGCACCATGAATAAGTCTAAAATGTTTTCCATTTCACTTTCCATGCAGTGTGTTTCCCAAATTGGACAATCTGTGATTTTTTTTTCCTTAAAAAAGATGTATTTGTTAGAAGACAGTAGCATAAACAAGATAGGAATTTATTTCTCTCTCATATATGAAGTCCAGGTAGGCGTTCCAGGGATAGAATGATGGTTCCTTGAGCATCAGGACCCGAGCTCTTCCCATCATGTTGCTCTATAGTCCTCATCGTGTGCCTTCCAACCTGTGATCCAAGATGGCAGCCCCAGTTCCTGCCGTCAAGTGTGCATTTCATCCAAAAGGAAGGAGGCAAGGAGGCAAGGGGAGAGCCTACCATTTCTTTTTAAGGGCAGAAGTTACACAATCACTTTTTCTTCACATCCACTACCTATAGTTTGATCATATGGCCACCCCTACCTTCAAGGGAGGCCAAGAAATCTCTTTAGTTGGGCAGTCTTGTGACCAACTAAAAATTCTATCATTATGCAAAAGAAGAGAACAGACAAATGGGCCAAATGGTAATCTCTGCCAAGAGTCTAGCCATTTCTCAAGCTTGAGACACATGAATTTCTACACTTTTTTTTCTAGGTGTGAAATTCTGTGATGTGAGTAACATCTAAAAACTTCAACCTGGACAGGAGCTCAAGATTTCAGCTAATCCAGTCTCTTTCATCAAATGATGAAGATATAATGGACCCATTTTACAGAGAAGACAACTTTGGGCCAGAGAGGTTAAGTGACCCACCCAGGGTTAACTTGGTCAGTAGCACAGGGAGAAGTTAATCTTGTGGAGATAATTGCAGGAGTGGTGGGATTCACTGGGCACCTGGGAGGGCTCTTTGCTCTGTGCTTTCTATTGCTGCTTCCATGATGTCCTGGCTCTTCAGACCATACCTTACCGCTGATGCTATCATTTGGGGGATAAAGTGGACTCTGACCCAGGGATCGTGATGTCCTGAGGGAGCCCAAGCTTTGCAGTCACACAGAGCTGGCTTTCAGTCCTAGTTCTTCTTCTTATGACTCTGCTGCCTTGGGCAAGGCATTTTCTCTTGACCTTAGTTTCCTCTTGTTTAAACAGAAGATAATATTCATCTCCACGTTTTCTTCCCACCCTTCCTTCTTCCTTCCACCTTCCCCCCCCCCCGTCCCCCGCCCCTTTTCCTCCTTTTTATCACGCATAGAATGAATAAATAAAGGGAACTGGCCTGGGACTTAGTACTTAGAAGTGAAAGCCCAAGGTAGTTTCCTTCCTTTCTTCCTTCTTCTTTCCTCTTCTCCTTTCATTTTCTTTCTCTTGTTTCAGTTTCAGGTAAGTTTAGATTTTGTCCCACGAGGTTCAATAATCATAGGGCCCAGAGGACTAAAAAAAATTGTAGTAGTTGGTATGCACCAGATTCTCTTCAGAAAATGCAGTGCCCAGAAATAGTTGCCCTGACTGGCGAACTTCTACTTCCCTTTAACATTTTTTTTTGGCTTGTTTTTTGCATCAGGCAAGGAGAACTATAGTACCTCTTGGGTTTCCCCCTCTGACACCTTACTGCTGGACCCTGACGTGGCTATTCCCTCCCTTCTTCATGACTTCTGAACGCTTGAAAATGTTTATAAAATGTCATGCTTCCTGTAGGGTTTTCTCCCCCTTGTATTTAGCTCTGGTTTTCTATAAGCTCCTTGAGGACAGGGAATGGACATCTGCGTATCCCCGCCTTTATGTGTTAGAGAAGTGAAAACTGAAGCCTGATTGGAGATGAACTTCCTCTGAGCAAGGACCCTGTATTCTACTTCTTTGCCTTCATCGTAGCACCTATGAAGGACAAAGGAAGGAAAGAGGAGTGGAGGGAAGGAGAAAGAAGGTAGGGCAAGGGGGAGGAAGGGAGAAGGTGGGAAATCAGCATTTAAGCATGAAAAGTACCAGCTTTTAAGAAAATGCTACCTCACTTAATCTTGACAGTGCACGTGTGAGACAAATTGCAGAGGATAAGACTGGAGCCCAGGAAGGTACAGTCACTTGTCCGAGCTCCCACAGCGCATGCAAAGCAGAATGAGAAACAGAAACAAGATCTGTGAAGCTGAGGTGAGGGTCTTATTCTTGAACCATGAGTCAGAGTTACTGACACAGTCAAGTGTGAGAATTAAATGCACTGTGTAGGAGGCTAGGTCTATCTCAGGGATTCCCTTTAACGATAGTAATAATGAAGCTCTGTGACCCTGACAAAGTAGCTGGTTGTCTTGGAGCCTCAGTTTCCCCATCTCTAATGAAGGGGGCCCTCTGTGAGTGTGGGGGTCCCTCTAGGCTCTTGAGGTGCTGGGATTCAGCCTCTCTCCCTGAATTCCTCAACCATCAGTGTGAGCCATTTAAAAATGATAGATTCTTCCAGCAGGAGCAATGCCTCTTTCGCTAGGTCAGGCCAAGCAAACTTACTTGGGGTTTTTGATGGGATTTCTCTTAATTGATTGGGGTGAGGAGTTCAGAGTTAAGTTGGAGGACTGGCTTTTCAGCTCCAAGCTGGAAGAGACTGGGGCCTGACGTGATTTGAGGTTGCCTGCCCCCTCTTAGAAGGCTGATTGGAGAGCATTCTGCACCCAGCAACACTCCCTACTCCCTGGAGAGCACAGAGGGAGCTGATGTAAGCTATCTTGGTCCTGGAAGAAACGATGTCAAATTTCTGGGGCTTTCCTATTTTGACTCTCCCCATTGCCTGGATGGTTTTCAGTGTTCTTTTGTTTTATTTATTTATTTATTTTTTGGTCTGTCTCTCTCCCTTTTTCTTTTCCTCTCTCCCTCCCTCTCCTCCTTCCCTCCTTCCCTCCCTCAACTTCCTTTCTTCCTTCTTTCCTTCCAGATGTATTCTTATTCTCAGTTTAAAAACATTTAAGACAATAAGAGGTTTTGAATGGTAACGCTCTCCAGAGTCTAGCTATCAGTGATTTTTTACGTCTTCTGATCATTGGTATTTTATGTCTCTTCCTTATTCATTTAACTAAGACTCATTAATAGTAGCAATAGTTACAATTGGGAGAACTTACCGAGCACCATTCTTTCAGGTCCCACAAGGCACTGCATTCTTTCACCCAGCAAATATTTATGGAGCATCCACCCATTTCCAGGCACCATCTTGGAAGAGATTCAGCCGCAACCAAGGCAGAGTCTCTTTTCTGAAAGGAGCTTACATCGTAGTTGGAAACACAGACAATGAGCAAGTAAACAAATATTTAATGTATTTTCAGGTTATTTAATTACATCCTCAAAACAACCTCATGGCAGGTATTATAAGCCCATTTTACACACACAGAAACACTGAAGTGTGGATAATGAAGTTACCTGCCCAAAGTCACATGAGAAATTTGAATGCGCCCCAGCCTGTGGTCTTTGTAAGATCCAATGAAGCTTTTTATTGTTAGCCCAGAGGCAGTAGACTGTGAAGCTATGAAGCTGAAGCTCCAGGGCTACTCACTTGCATGGACACTTTTTCAAGTCACTTTGGACCTAACTTTTTTTTTTTTGGTACGCGGGCCTCTCACTGTTGTGGCCTCTCCTGTTGTGGAGCACAGGCTCCGGACGCGCAGGCTCAGCGGCCATGGCTCACGGGCCCAGCCGCTCCGCGGCATGTGGGATCTTCCCGGACCGGGACACGAACCCGTGTCCCCTGCATCGGCAGGCGGACTCTCAACCACTGCGCCACCAGGGAAGCCCCGGACCTAACTTTTAATCCCTTCCTTAGTGAAGGCCCATCACATTTTATAAGCCTTGGGCTTCACAAAACCTGGACCAGGCTTCACCAACATAAGGATTCAGAGACGATTCTAATTTTCCTCAAGAACTTAGAATCCAATGGAGGAGAAAGACATGAAAATAAAACATCATAATACATAGAGATGAGTGCTATAATGCAGGTGTTATGGACTAAATTGTGTCTGCCAGATTCATATGTTGAACTCTAACCCTCGATGTGATTGTATATAGTCAGAGGGCCTTTAGGGAGGCAATTACGTTAAATGAAATCATAAGGGTGGGGCCCTCATCCCATAGCATTGGTGGCTTTGTAAGAAGAAGAAGAGACAGCAGAGAGCTCTCTCTTCCTACACACATGGAGCAAAGCCCACATGAGCACACAGAGAGAAGGCAGCTGTCTGTAAGCCAGGAAGAGCACTCTCACCAGAAACTGAGATTGCTGGCACCTTGATCATGGACCTCTAGCCTCTAGAACAGTGAAGAAATAAATTTTTCTCATTTATGCTACCCAGTCTGTGGTATTTTGTTGTGGTATCCTGAGCAAACTTGAACAGGAGGCAGGTACAAGGCAGATGGATTTGAGGATGGGGGAAGCATTCCGGGCATAGGAAACAGCCTGAGTAAAGGTGTGGAGGCCTGAGGTAGCACAGCATACCTGTAGAACCGTAAATAATAACTGTACATACTCTGGTGGAGTACGAAGGCAGAGATGAACAGTGACGGTGGGTGGGAGAAGGTGGCAACCATGTGAGATGCCATGCTTAAGACTGGATAGGTGTGGGAGTGCCCCTAGTTTGCCCTTGAGCAGGGCAGAATCAAAACCATCATGGTGGCAGGAGGAAGAAGATGGATGAGAGGGAGGGAGACTAGTTAGGCAACTAATGTAATAGTCCAGGTACGAAAGGGTGAGGCTATGAAATAGGTCAGTGAGGTCGGAGAGAGGGAATGTGTTGGAACTAGGAGGAGAGAATGGCAGAGAGAAGAGGAGCTAGAATCATACTCGGGTTTCTCATTTGGGTATCTGGGTGGATGGTGCTTGGAATATTTTGGTCACATGTAAAGTGACTTGAATATATACATAGATTTAATTTACTTATGAGGAAAAGGGTTTGGAATTCTTGTATTTCAAAGAAATATTAGGTGGAAGTGTGCTATGGTCCTAGATCTGAAGGTTTGGTCAACTGGATGCTCTGATATTTGGGAGCCAGCAGAGTGGGAATAGGGTGTCCAAGAGGCACAGGGGAAGATCTGCAGGCAGCCTTCATTAGCAACATTATGCTTCTTAACAGAATACTGCTTCTTTTTCTTTTTTTTTTTTCTGTTTTTTAATAAACCTGAAACTTGGGCCAAGAAAATTATAATGTCTTGGAAGGAGTTGGGGTCAAATTTGGGGCAAAGAGTCTGGTCGAGTCCTAGTCCTGACCTAACCCACCATGTGCCTTTGGGTGGATCATTTACTGTCTCTGGGCCTCAGTCTCACCTTTTCAAAACTGAACCACTTGGGTTAAATGATCTTTAAATTCCCTTTTAGTGCTCATATTTTATATATCAATGTTTAACTAACATTATGTAAAAAATGTACACAAATCAAGAGTTTGGAGAAGATTAGAGTTTTATTTCCAAGGACAATGCCTAATTCAGTCCTGAAATGACAAGCTTTAACTCCTACGTCATTTCATCTCACCCTGGATTCACAGACTCATAGAGGAGTCTAGAGAGAAGAGATTATTTAGATACCATCCAGTTCAGTTTCTTTTTTTTTTTTTTTTTTTTTGGTACGCGGGCCTCTCACTGTTGTGGCCTCTCCTGTTGTGGAGCACAGGCTCTGGACACACAGGACCAGCGGCCATGGCTCATGGGCCCAGCCGCTCCGCAGCATGTGGGATCTTCCCGGACCGGGGCACAAACCCGTGTCCCCTGCGTCGGCAGGCAGACTCTCAACCACTGCGCCACCAGGGAAGCCCCAGTTCAGTTTCTTGATTCCACTTTTGAAGGGAGCGAGGAACAGGAAGAGAATCACCCAAGGTCATACAGCTGGTTAGTAGCAGAGTCAGGCATTGAACCCAAGCCTCCCGACGAGGGCCATGAGGGGCGTATAACCACCAGCTTACTCTGTAGACTCTGATGTGAGTGGTATCCCTGGAATTATCAAGGCAGAGATCCTGCTCTTGACCCCCACTTCAGCACCCTGCTCATTCTATGTATCTAATTGTTTAAAATGCCTCCTCCACCCCCCTGGATACCTGGCACCCTCACTTCTTCCCTTTTACTTGCCAGCTGGAATTCTATTCATCCTTTAAAACTCAGTACAATTGTCACCTCCATGGTCCCCTTTCTTCCCACTGTACATACCTTTATGGCCATATAAACATAACACATTGCATGGCAATGGTTTCTTACTTATCTCTCTACAGTTAACCGAAAAGGTTGGGAACTGTGTCTTATTCATCTCTGTACTTCTAACATCTATCTAGCCCAGGTGTTCAACTAATGTCCATGGAATGAATGAATACAACGGATAAATGATAGCATGAGTATAAACTGAGGTCTGCTGGAGAATATAGAATCAAACAGAAAAGGCTTAGGAAGCCATGTCCCATGAGGTGTAAATGAGGCTAGGGTTTTCCTCTCATCTGGTTATTTCTTGGACCTACAGGTCATCACCCTCATTAAGGACAGCTCTGCTAAGCTATAAGCAGGAAATGCCTTGGTATCAGGCCCGATGGCCCATATTGAAGACATAATCCTTTGGCCCGTGACTCACCAATGGATTCCAGAAGGCTCAGTGTGGGTGGCCTTCCTCAATCAATCAATGGTTGGGCGTCCCAGCTTGTGATTGGATCCAAGCCACCCAAGCGTACAGGTCTCTTAGATGCAGGCTGTATGGAGACCTTTGGCCACCAGGCCTGTATAAGTTGTAGCCACCCACCAGGAGATACAGAGAAGCATCCATAAAATCCAGCTTTTATGACCACTGACACCCCCTTGAGCATGGTTAATATGATTATTTAACATTTATGAGACACCCTCTGTGCAGTGGGGCTAAGGGAAAGCCAATTTGGCAGCCTCAACACAAATGGATGTTTCTATGTAACCCCACGAAGGTGATCCCTCCTCCCCAGATTAGTTCATTTGCAACTATATTCAGGAGCTCATATAGGCCAGGGCAAAATTCAGTGCATTCTGTATAACATCAATCTAGGCATTAACCCAGGGGAACTTCAGTTAACCAAAACCCAGCAAAGGAAAACCCTCAATTAATTGGATCTTGATTTTTGCACTTCTACTGATTTGTTCTATGAGTGATGTTGACGTGCAAAGTATTTTGTTCAGTCTTTCTCATTCAGTAAAATATATGAGCTGCTGACTTTATGCGAGACCCTGTGTCTGCTCTCCGCATTGTAGAAATAAATAGACAGCCTGTGCCCCCAGACAACTCAATCTTGGGGGTAAGAGAGGCATGGCAATAAAAATATAGTCTTACAGGTGATGTGTAAGAGCGAAGTTCACAGAAGAGTAGATGCCTGGAGGAAGGAGTGGTCAACAGGTTAGGCAAGCTTTGTAGGAGGAAAAGCTTAAGATGGCATTTGATTGGTGGTGACAATTTCAGGATAGGTGGATATGGACCTTACAGGAAGAGGAAATGAATGAACAAAGGTACCGGAAGGTGAAATGACATAGGATATTCAGGGAACGCTAAGCCATGCGGACAGGCTGGAATCTATGGTGTGAGGGGATGAGGTGGGAAATCTAGGCAAGGGCTAGATTATAAAGGGCCTTGCCCATCGTTTAAGAAGTGACTGCTGCATTTGGAAGCACTGGTCATCCTCTTCTCGGAATGCTCTCCTCCCTTGGTCTGGGTGACATCACATCCTGATAGAGTAGCTCCTACCTCTTTGGCCTTGTCTCCTCTGTTATTTATATGGAACTATCTTTCTCTGCCATGTTTTTTTTTTTTTTTAACATCTTTATTGGAGTATAATTGCTTTACAATGGTGTGTTTCTGCTGTAGAACAAAGTGAATCAGCTATACCCATCCCCATATCTCCTCCCTCTTGCGTCTCCCTCCCACCCTCCCTATCCCACCCCTCTAGGAGGTCACAAAGCACGACTCTGCCCATGTTTTAATACCAGTGTTCCTCCCCTGTTTTCTTCTCACTCTAGACCCTTCTCTGAGCAATTTTCGCACTGCAGTGATTCCCCAAATGATACCCCTCATGCAGATAAGTTCTTTCCTGAACTCCAGATGTGTACATAGATCTAACTGCCTAGTGGATGTCTCTACCAGATGGGGGTAGCTCTTTGTTCTCTAAACCATCATTCATTCTGTATTTCCAATCTTATGAAAAGCATCAATATCCAGCCCCTTGTTGTAGCCTCTGACCTGGAACTCTCCTGGACTCCTTACTTTCCTTCATGAGTCACTTCAAGTCCATCAACCATTCATTCATTCATCCCCTAGACATTTATGGAGTTCTGACTTTGACCAGCAGCTGGTGATGTGGAGATGAGTAAAACAGAACCCTGGCCCCTGAGGAGGAGTCAGAAGAAAGGGATATGAACAGGTGGCTGTCACTCTGGGTGCACAGTGTAGCAAGAGGGGGCTGTGGGAGTATGGAGGAGGCACCTGCCCCAGCTTGGTGGCTGGCCTGGTGTGAGGGAGAACTGGCAAAACTTCCTCCAGGAGGTGATTACCTGTGCCGGCCCTCAAAGAATGAGTAGCAGGAAGGCCGGGCAGTAGCGGGTGGGAGATGGTGAGGGAAGAGAGTCATTCCAGGAAAAGGGAATAACATGAGGAAAT